TTTACGCCTTTTGTCAACCTACATTCATGTACAAAAGATTATTAAAATTAAACAATTTTTAGTGAGTGTTCTATTTTCAATGTTTCTTAGTATAAATTAGGTACGTGAATTCGCGTCGTTCAGTAAGTAGCAGATCTGATAATTATTATAACTTATCTATTTTTATTAAAAATATTTATTTTTATAACAATTTTAATAACCACTAACATTTAATGACACCGTAAAATAAAACAACAAATTGTTGAAATTTGACATTAGTATTCAGCATACACAGATCAAGTGAATGATGTTACCATAGAAACGTTATTTTTTTTGACTTCTGGATCTGAAGAAAAAATCTGAAAAAATGAAAATTTTGAACAGTTTAAACCGAATTACCTATTTTAGAAAAGGCAAAAACGTTTAAAAGAATACATTTTTCTCAAAAAGATAATAATAATAGTTATTTATGATATAAGAGCTAAAAGTGGTATTTTATTTTGTAAGAAGAGAAGCAGCAAAATTAAATCACTTTTAGCACACATATCACACACTATTTTTCTACAAACAAGTTTATGCTCGTATATATCAAGGTATTATTACTTTTTACGTTAATGAATAATTCATAACATGTCATTCTGAAATCAAATTAATTAAGTTTATGGTTGCTAGGGTAATTGAAAGATTCCAAACATTCGATCATTTGTTGTCAACTAATGTCAAATTTGTGCCTCAACTCTTGTAAAATGATAGAAAGTGATCTAGTAACTTAGTGTTTCCCAGCAGAAATTGACGAAGCGGCTAATAGAATTACTGTTGATTCATTTCATTCAGCAAGTCTGGATAATAAAGAATCAATAGGATTTCTTTTTTTTTTTCAATTATCGCTTCAGTGTTGAAAGTAAATCACGTGACTTACTTTTAGCACCAGTGACATAATGTCACATTTTAGGCACTGATAGCATGCGTTCAAAAATTACATTTTTACTGACGTTTGTAGAAAAAATTATTTTTCCTCTTGTAAAGAAAATTCGGGGCTTACTGTAGATATTTTTTTACAAAAGATTATTTTCGATTTTGTTTTTGAATATATACTAGGTTTTTGGAAAACTATTTGTCCTCAATAAATAATACAATTTATATTAAATATAATTATACTTTCCGAAATTCAATAAAAAAATTTCCTAATTAGAAAAAATCGAAACAAAAAATGTTTTATTAAAAAATACGAAACTAAGGAATAAAAATTATATTTAATACAGTACTTAATTCTAGACAAATTTAAATAATACTAATCTACCTAAATGCTTTTAAATAATACTTTCACGAATATTAAAAATATATAACAAAATATATAATGTTATGTCAAACAATTAAAAATCGAAATCAATATAACTTAATAACAGCTATCGCCAACTAATGAACTTGTTAAAATATGTATCAATATATTTAATACCCTGCAATTAAAAATTAAATTATCAGTCAATTTATATTACGTACGGCAAATAAACGTGAATGTAGTTTAAATTAATTACGCATATTTATCTAAGAGTTTACATATTATCACGAAAATAATTATTTATTTTTAGATATCTATCACAGGCTAAGTATATCAAACTTAAACACGTGTAGGTAGGTAGTTTATTTTAATATTCGAAAATTATTTCTTTAAATAAAAAAGTTTTAAAAATAATAAAATATCATACGTATACATTATGTCCCGGATTGTCTTTACAAGAATAAAAACTTTTTTTTATTGACATTTTGAGAAAAAATGTTAATACCATTTATTATTTTCCAAATTTCCATACCTTATGAAAATATAGTTGAATATTTATAATGCTAAAAATCAAAACGTGTTTCTATGGTAATATAATATCGTTTTCATAACTCGATAGATGTTATTGATAGAATTTTAATTAACGTTTTTTTTTTGCTGTTTTAAAATGTTAAGGAAACAAAATTTAGTTAGTTCAATGCTACGGAAAGGGTGATCATAGTTATCGAAAAATGTGGTACTTAAACAGCAACAAAAAAATATGAAGTTAATCAAAATTAATAATAACCATTTATCAAAGAATCGAAATTATATTACCATAGAAACGCCTTTTGATTTTTAGGACTTAAGGAGAAAAAAATTCAACCATATTTTCATGTTTTTTTGTTTTAATTTTCTCAAAAAAGCTACTTCGAGACTCGACAAAAAACATAGAAGATAAAAAACTATAACAATGTAGGTACTTAGATTTTTATAAACATATGACACAACTTTATTGTTGTATAAGCTAAGCTAAGCTAAGCTGTTATTCTTCTCTATCTCAGTTGACAACAGTACTTAGTACCAGAAAATTTTGTCAAAAAATATAGTTAGTAATGCCATAATTAGTAAAAATGATTTTCATTTAAATTTCAACAAGTACAATCTGAATATTCTCTCACACAAATTGTGAGAATTATCACCACACTTGTTTGCTATTTTCGTATAAAATCAAGCATATTTAATTCTTTTGGAAATCTACAAATTCATAGAAATAAAAACTACAACGTGATGCCTAGTACCCTTTTAGACGCAAAATTTAACAGTGCTTAACAATTTTTTTTTGCGTGGAATTTCAAAAATTTAGAAGTAAAAAATAAATATAGAGTGTGATATAAAAGGAAGCAGTAACAAAAATTTTCCCTAACATGAAAATATTCAGTTTCTTTTAATTCACTACTGTAATTTAATTTAGCATTATTATAATATATTTGAATAAAATTACTGTACTCTCATTATATTAAACTCACTGCATGTGAAGTGTCAGTCACGTAATTGATCGTAATTTATAATTTCTTATGAGTTAATAATTAATATCATACATTTGCGTAATTTGTGCAATTCTGAGATTGTTTTGCAATATTTATGAGTGAAATTTGTTAACATATTTTTTAATTCATATAAAAGACTTGATATGAAAAAAGTAAATAATTTCAATTATTATAATTATTATCTTGAAGCTTCTAATATATTTATATTGGATTTATAAAATAAAACAGAACAATTAAAATAATTTAATAAAGAATGAAAATGCGTGTCTTTTTCAAAAATACTATGATATCGTATATTCTTCAATTATGAATATTTTTTATTTTATTTTTTATTTTTACTAGCTAGGAGACAGTAGGTAATGATCTTTTAGACGTAATGTTACAAAAATTTGCTTTAAATATACAGTATGTCCCTGGAACGTCATTAAAAAGGAAAAACCTTTTTTAATTTTATATTTTATTAACATTATGAGAAAAATCCAATTTTTATAAAAAAATTGCTAGCTCTAAACTGCTTAATAAAGTAAAAAAATTATTTCGTTTTTTGTTATCGGAAGAAATGATACTATACTATAACAGCTAAAAATATCTGCTTAATCAAAATTTATAATAAACATCTTTCAAAAAATAAAAACCAATTGAGTATTAGGTACCATAGAAACGCGTTTTGATTTTTAGGATTTTAGGAAAATTTAAACTTGATTTTTTTTTTCATTTTTTTCTGTAAAGATTATTCATCATTTTAGAACAAGCAAAATTTTTTAATAATAATAAAAGAGCTTTGTCTTCATGTAAAGATCATGCGAGAATATACCTACTGTATAAAATATTTAATAATGTTTTAATAAAAAAAAATAATTGATCTGAATATACAGTATGTCCCCGGATTGTCTTTACAAGAGGAAAAAAACTTTTTTATTATTGACATTTTGAGGAAAAATGCGTCCTGCATAAATATTTTTGCTTGTTCCAAAATGGTTAATCCCGTTTATATTCCTATTAAGTTTTCATACCGTTTTAGGTAAAATAAAAACAACATGAAAATATGGTTGAATTTTTTCTAAGTCCTAATAATCAAAAGGCGTTTCTATGGTTATATAATTTAGATTTAATTCTTTCATAGATGGTTAGGTATTATTTATTTTGCCGTTGTTAAATTATTTCACATTTTCCGATAACTGTTATCACCCTTTCCGTAGCTTTGAACTAAATAAATTGTGTACATCTATAACATCTTAAAACAGCAAAAATATGACGATAATTAAAATTTTATCAATAACAATCTATCAAAGAAAGAAAACGAAATTATATTACCATAGAAAGGCGTTTTGATTTCTAGGAGTTCGTTTTTTCATTTTTTTTTAATATTTGTTATGGAAATTTGGAAAATTATAAATGGGGTTAACAATTTTAGAACAAGCAAAAATTCTTATAAAAAATGCATTTTTCTCAAAATGTCAATAATATAAAAAGTTTCTTCTGTTGTAAAAACAATCCGGGGACATACTGTATAATAAATATAAAAAAAATAAACTGTAATTTTCTACTTTTAATTAAAAAATAATAAAACTAAATTATTATAACCAGACAGAAATTTATTTTGATTTTCAAGGCTTGTAAAAATGTGGTAATAAAAAAATACTAACTGAAGACATAAAAATTTATAAACAATAATAAACTAAAATATTATACCTCTAATTACAGATGAACGTAACAACTAGATCATCACATACACATTAAACTCCTCCGCAACAAAAACAATAATAAAAAAAAACGAAAAGAAAATCGAAAACAAAACCAAATCAAAAAAGATATCACACACACACAGACACAAACACACATCAAAACTATAAAAGATTAAAGCCATAAGATAAACCGAGCGAGTATCATCATCTAGCCGGCAAAACCATCATCTCCGTGAGAGAGAGTGCGTTGATTCATTAGCTCGGCTACTGGAATCCAGTAGACCGCTCAGCTGAGCATCAAATCTTAAACAATTCACAAATTATCAATTTGAATCGCGGGCGCCGCCCCCTCGAGCCGATTGGCCACGCCTCCGGCCTGCGCCAGTCAACCGACCATCCCCTCCCATATAATTCCCTCTCTTTCCATGCTGTTTGAGCCAGCGTAGCTCCGTTTTCGTCGCTTGCGAGCGTGGGATCGCGTGTGTTTCTACTGCCTGATGTTTTACTATCCCGCAAGAATCCACGTGATTCAGTTGGCATCGCGATGTTGTTCTCGACACTCATTGGTAACTGTGCTCTCTCGTAAAGTATACTGACTCAGTGTGATTATTTTCCGAAAAATAATGCGACGAGTTTTTTGAAGATTTTTCCCGGACTAAGTGACGATATTATGAGCTCGTATCAGTTCGTGAACTCCCTGGCCCAGTGCTATGGACAACAGGGTCGTGCAGGAGATCACGCACATCAAGCAGCCTCTCCTGGAGCTGATTATTACAACCCCAACGCAGCAGCAGCGGCTAGCTATCCTCCAACATGTTACTCGCCTCCCCAAGTAGGTCCTCAAGGATACACACCTCACCCGTATGCAACACCAGCCCCAGGACACGGACTTCAACCCATGGGTGACTATACTCAGCTCCAACCTCAGAGAATACCTGGAGCTACCGCCATGCATCATGCGAGTCCAGGAGGACAGAGTCCTGGAATGCTCAGCGCTGCGGCTAGTTGTAAATACGCTGACTCGACATCATCTACTGGAGTGGCGAGTCCTCAGGATCTGAGCACTAACGCGCCTCCGGCGAGGAGTACTCCGCCTCTGGCAGGTGCTCAAGCGAGTAACAACTCGAACGCGACGATAACTTCGAAGAGTTCGGGGTTGACGTCGCCGTTGTCAGTGAGTACTTCGCCTCAGGGGAAGGCAGGGGCTGCTTCGTCAACGGCGTCTCAGAATTTGTCCTCGCCGGCTTCGAGTACGAGTTCGACTTCGAGTAATGAACAGAAGGCAAGCACGAACAACAATAACTCGAAAGGTGGGAGTTCGTCGAGTAATCCTCCGCAGATTTATCCCTGGATGAAGCGAGTACATCTTGGACAAAGTAAGTACCTCAAAGTTTGTAGATTTAGAAAGAAATTTGAGTCTTTAATATTATGATGCGGAAAAAATGTATAATAATAATCTTAAGTGTCTTACTGTGTGCAAACTTTCTTCTTAAGAATTTTATGTACAGAAAAAAAACATATGCAAAAGTAAAAAAATACAACATTGTACATAGATTTTTATAAACGTTTGACATACAATAATTGTTGTATTAGCTAAGTTATTATTCTTACCAAACTCAGTTTACAATAGTACCTAATTACAACAAATTGTGCAAAAATATAGTTAGTAGTGCTATAATTTGTAATAATGATTTTCATATAAATTTCATTGAGTACAATCTGAATATTCTCTGACACAAATTGTGAGAATTATCACCATACCTGTTAGCTATTTTCGTATAAAATCAAGCACATCTAGCTATTATGGAGATCTATAAATTGGTAGAAATAAAAGCTACAACGTGATGCCTAGTACCATTTTAGTGTTTTCTACAATTATGTGGTTTATTACAATTTATTTTTTCTCTGTAGTATATTTGATTCTTTATGAATAAGAAAATTACTGATGAGTACCTGAACTCGAAATCTGCTGGGTACTTTTTTCTAAGTTTATATATTATTATTTTTTGTTAAAGTGGGTACCTATTTTAAAATGTCTAAAAATATTATGAGCTTTTTAAAATAATTTAACGTACATAGTCATTATTAATTATGAATAAATTTATAAATACGATAAAAAATATGACCAAATTTAGATAACATACCCATAATTGCATATAATAAAATAAAGATGCATATTTAATGCTTATGCTAATGCTTAATACAAAATTATTTACTGTGTTTTTATTATTTTTTTATCTTGACTTAATATTGGTAAAGTTGGTTGGAGCATAATATAAAATTATATCAATTTAAATAATATTTTTTTATAACATTTAAGGACTAATTATTCCTTTAATGCCATTTTATGAAGTCTTTGGTCTTTTATTTTTTTAAGAATATGTATTTTATAAAAAAATATTTTTTGAGCTGGCCATTTAATTTCTTATAGAAATAATTTTGTTTAATGATTAGTAGTTAATTTTTTTTTCTATTTGTATTTTTTAATCATTAGTTTTTTTTCTTCTCCTTTATTTTTATTTATATCAAAAACTCAGAAAAAATACTAATTAATATGTATAATCTAACAAAAAATAAACAAATTCAACTTATACTAATTTATTCTAAATTCTGAACAAACCCATTTATAAATGCCCAATAAATTTTTAAGAAAAAAATCTGAATAAATATTACACAAAACAAAATAAACGGACACAATTTTGGAATGTTGTTGTTTAATTAAATTGACAAGTTAATTAGTAAAACAGCCAACAAAATATTAAAATAATTATTACAACATCCATATTCAACATAAATAATAATTACCAAAATTTCACAATCGGAAATGGTAAGCAGTTTTTTTTTAATAAATATAGTCATTAATTTTATCAAAAGTGTTATACCTACATATTATTTTTTACAAGTGACAATTTCGTAATCAAGTTTCATAATAATTAATAAAATGTTGCAACAAAATACGGTTGTAAATAGTTTTTAAATTTATTTAAAATATTAATAACGATTTTTGAAAAATTAGTAATAGACCTATCGTCATTATAGCTGAAATTATCATAATTTATGATAATATTTATTACAGTTTTAAGTTGGTAATAATTCATATATTCAGATAGTGATAAGTGTAGTTTTATGATATTTGCGTTATAATAAAAAGGAATCTACTATTTATAGATAGTATAAACATACATAAATATTTGTGTATGTTTAATCAGAGTATTTTTTGTATTGCGGGCCCAAGTTATCCCTGCTAATTTCCTAATATATCATGGTACCATCTCAGGTTTGGTATTTTTCTAGGTCTCTTAATTCCTCGTGGATACTATGCTGTAATTTTTGTGGTCCATCTAGGTATTTCCGTCCTTCTTGCCAGGGTGTCCTGCCTATTGCCACTTGAGGGATTTGATTTTGTGGATGGCATCTATTACCTGGGTCTTTTGTTATATCCACTCTATTCTTTTACGATTTTTTTTTTGTTATTCCAAGCATATTTCGTTCCATTGAGTATTGTGCGATCTGCAGTTTCCTTATAATGTCCGTTTCAAGTATCCAGGTATCATATGTATTGACACTGGTAGTATATATTGGTCTAATGTTTTCTTCTTTAGATAAAATGGCATTATTTAATGAAGTGACATTATCCTTTAGATAAAGTGGCACTTATTTCTTATACTTACTTTTAAAAATTGTACCACTTTTTAATGACTCAAAATTTGTGAAAAAAATATGTAGTAAATACAAGAAGGACCATTTTATGAAAAAAATCAGTCGTCGAAGGAGTTAAAAATATTCCTACTAAAATTTATGTAGGGATGGCTGTACTTTTCACCCTTCCCGTACTTTTTTGTAAAAGTCAAATGTTAAAGCGCTTAGCAAAACATAGGCACCCCAAATGTCATTCAAATCGGAACATCGTTTCTTAAAATATCTGAAAAAATGTGTTTAATGCCCTGCATAGAGGTAGATTGTGCTCAATTAACTTATTTTGATTCCAGAAACACGTAGTAGTTCTATGTCTACAAAATAGGTATTGGAACACCTTGTATGGCTTTTTTCATACCAGGATAAAAATCTAACCACAACATACCAGAAAAATAGTAATTTTTTATACAAGACGATAATGCAATTTTATTGTCGTGTATAAAACAATATTTTTTTCCATAGCGAGTTTTAAAAAATATTGAGAAATTATTATTTCAAGGAATTTATTACGAATAGAAAAAATATTGTGCTGGGTTGGCGTTGGTTTCTATGTAATTTGACAAATAAATAAAGTTGTCTCTTTAGTTGCCAGTTTTGAGTCAGTATTTTTTAATTCTCTTTCGTGTCGATTGCTGATTGAATTGGAGCCAGTAATGGCTTAAAACGAAATAAGTAAATTACCAACAGATATTCAGGCTGAGGTGACAAACGCCATATCCAAACTACTTCCATTTAAATCCCGAATAACTTATGAAAAGGAATACAACATTTTTCAAAAATGGAAGCAATTAAAAAACGTGCGAGAAGAAATAAAGTTTTTAACCTATCCTCGCTGTTAAAGTATCATTTAATCTACCCTTGCGGTTAAAATACTATTTTATCTACTATCTTTGATAGATATAATGCAATTTTAACAGTTGTTATGGAAAAAAATATAATTTTATATTTGTTACTGGTGAAAACGTCTCAGTTGTTGTGGGGTTAAAGATTTAATAGTTGTTTTAAAACCATCAATCACTGTAAATGGTTGTAGGTACAAGAAATTCTGACAAGCCTAACTTAGGTCGAGTGTTAATAAAATTAGAACGTGATGTTGATGGAAGGAAATCGTTACCAATACAGAATGCGGAATAATAAATGGATTTTTGTTTAGACAAGGAAATAGTACGTCAAATTATGTATCATTAAAAAGGCGCATCAAAAGAATGATCATTCATTATTAGGATTTGTTGAAAGAACGCTTCATACAGAGGTTTTTTTATATTTGTTTTTGAATTTTGGAATGTATAATCCAATAAAATTGTCATTTGAAAAAAAAAATTACGGGCAAGCTCATTTTTTCAGAGTTTGTCAGCGACTGTCTTCTGAGTGTAAAATTAACAAAATCGGAAATCTTCCCCTTGTGGTTTTTGAGCAATAAGGGTGTTTTTTTTAAACTGTACTACAACAAAATAATTAGACCCAAATTGTACAGAAGAACATTCTCTATAAGTTCGCCTAATGATTTTTTTTATAAGTTTATTATTTCCGGACTTAGAGGCCGTTTCATGAGCCCTTTGGGGTGGTTTTCAAAAAGTTTGTTTTACAACAAATTGACCCTTATGAAAGTTGTTCGTAATAAAGAGACAAGCAACTTTTCCTCATGAATTTTTTTTGTAGCTTGATTATGTTTGGAGATAGCGTCCAGTTCATGAACAAATTAGGGTAGTTTCATAATTTTTGTTTCGTTCTACAAATTTACCAACTTAAATGTGTTCATAATAAAATTAGATGGAAACTTCCCTATGATATGTATTTATTTCCCCAAAACGAAATATGGAATTCATCAAGGGAATGTATATTATGATTTTTTTAATATTTGATTAAAAAAAACATTTCAAGCTACCACCACTTGTTCATGATCTGGGCGTTATCTCCAAAAATAGTCAAGTTATAAAAAAGTTCATAAGGCAAAGGTATATGTACTCTTATTGTGAACGAGTTTCCTAGGGTGAATTTGCTGAAAAAAGAGTAACATTGAAAACTACCCTAATTTGTTCATGAACTGGACGCTATCTCCAAAAATAATCAAGCTACAAAAAAAATTCATGAGGAAAAGTTGCTTATCCATTTATTATGAACAACTTTCATACGGGTCAATTTGCTGTAAAATAAACTTTTTGCAGTGGGAGTTTTGCCATTCCATTTAAAAAAACACAGGATCATACCATTTTCTATATATAATTAATTCGTTTATACATAAAAAATGACATTGTCACTTTATTAATTACATAGGTAAGTATGATATTAAGTAATTAATTCAGTGGTTTATGTATCATTAAAACGATAATTAAAGCTATTAACAAAATTAAGTGTAAAAGGAAAACCTTATGTCCGCGTTTAATAAGTTGTTTATGAGCTGTTAAATAAAATGCTTCCTTAAAATTCTATTAGTGAACTTTTTGAGTAATCTTTTTTATATACTAATTAAAATTAACGACAAAAATAAGGTTAATACAAGGATCTATTTAATTTCCACCTTTTTTAATAAAAATTACACTACCTTATATAGAGTGTCTAAAAAATTGTGTTAAATAATTAAATTAAAAAATTAAAAATTAAAAAAATAAAATTTTTTCAAATTTATTTATTTCAGTGAAATAACTATCTAGTCAACGTGTTTATTTTTCGTCAATATTGA